GTACATAACCCCCAAGAGTACATAACCCCCAAGAGTACATAACCCCCAAGAGTACATAACCCCAAGAGTACATAACCCCCAAGAGTACATAACCCCCAAGAGTACATAACCCCCAAGAGTACATAACCCCCAAGAGTACATAACCCCAAGAGTGCATAACCCCCAAGAGTACATAACCCCCAAGAGTACATAACCCCCAAGAGTACATAACCCCCAAGAGTGCATAACCCCAAGAGTGCATAACCCCCAAGAGTACATAACCCCCAAGAGTACATAACCCCCAAGAGTACATAACCCCAAGAGTACATAACCCCCAAGAGTACATAACCCCCAAGAGTACATAACCCCCAAGAGTGCATAACCCCAAGAGTGCATAACCCCCAAGAGTACATAACCCCCAAGAGTACATAACCCCCAAGAGTACATAACCCCCAAGAGTACATAACCCCCAAGAGTACATAACCCCAAGAGTACATAACCCCCAAGAGTACATAACCCCCAAGAGTACATAACCCCCAAGAGTACATAACCCCCAAGAGTACATAACCCCAAGAGTGCATAACCCCCAAGAGTACATAACCCCCAAGAGTACATAACCCCCAAGAGTACATAACCCCCAAGAGTGCATAACCCCAAGAGTGCATAACCCCCAAGAGTACATAACCCCCAAGAGTACATAACCCCCAAGAGTACATAACCCCAAGAGTACATAACCCCCAAGAGTACATAACCCCCAAGAGTACATAACCCCCAAGAGTGCATAACCCCAAGAGTGCATAACCCCCAAGAGTACATAACCCCCAAGAGTACATAACCCCCAAGAGTACATAACCCCCAAGAGTACATAACCCCCAAGAGTACATAACCCCAAGAGTACATAACCCCCAAGAGTACATAACCCCCAAGAGTACATAACCCCCAAGAGTACATAACCCCCAAGAGTACATAACCCCAAGAGTACATAACCCCCAAGAGTACATAACCCCCAAGAGTACATAACCCCCAAGAGTACATAACCCCCAAGAGTGCATAACCCCAAGAGTGCATAACCCCCAAGAGTACATAACCCCCAAGAGTACATAACCCCCAAGAGTGCATAACCCCAAGAGTGCATAACCCCCAAGAGTACATAACCCCCAAGAGTACATAACCCCCAAGAGTACATAACCCCCAAGAGTACATAACCCCCAAGAGTACATAACCCCCAAGAGTACATAACCCCAAGAGAGTGCAGCTGCCTGTACAACCTCTATACAGAGCTGCGACGGCAGAACTTCACATCTCGTGATATACTTCAAAAGGTTTAATTCACGTAGCTATGCAGAAGACGTTACTTCAGTAACGTCTGGCGCTAGCCAGGGTCCACACAGCTTTAATTTGGTGTTTGTTTGTGTGTTTGTGTCACGCCTGGCGCTATCCCGTATCTGTCCTGTACCGTACCGTACCATCAAACACAGCTGGCCCCATGCAGCTGGCCGCACTATTCAAATAGGGCTTTCAAACGCAAGATCATAACGTGAAGCAACTTGGAAGAATGAGTATGAATGCGAAGTGTATGGGGGAATGCATGTAGGGCGATAGTGCGGGTTCGAATCCCAGGTAATGCCTGAAAAAAAGGAAAATTGAAAAATTTATAACATCCCTATTCTTTTTTTGCCGTCATCAAGGCGGTAGATGGTGTCGTATTACCCTCGACCGTACCTGTCCCGTACCGTACCATACAATCAAAGACGGCTGGCCACAATACATATTCAAATAGGGCTTTCAAATACAAGATCATAACGTGAAGCAACTTGGAAGAGTTAGTATGTATGCGAAGTGTATCGGGGGATGCATGCAGGGCGATAGTGCGGGTTCGAATCCCAGGTTTAATATGTCTAAAAACAAAAAGTAGAAATTTATAATAATTTATAACATCCCTATGCTTTTTTGTCTAGGTCATCAAGGCGAAAAAGCATAGCGTAGGGACCTGAGCTTCCAAGCTCTCTCGTTAAAGGGGAAGTTAAGGCAAAAATTAAAATTTCACCAGTTGTAGTCTTCGGGGTGCTGAGTCGAATGGTCTTGGTCCGAGAAAGCTGAGACGCTCCCTTCCTACTTGAATCCCAATCGAACTCGCGCACTTCCACCGAAACTGGGTGACTGCGCCCTACTAGATGGGGATTTGTATGCAAAATGTCACTAAAAGCGCCATTTCGTTCTTATAAAAGCACGGATGACCGCGATTGGCCCATATGTTGTAGTCTTTTGGACACTGAGTCGACTGGTTTTGGTTCGAAAAGGCTGCGATGCAGCGTTCCTCCTTTATTCCCAATCGAACATGGTTGAAGAAGCGGTCACGTGCTCCTGCGTACACCAGTCACCTGGTCACCGTGCCTGCAGGGTACAACTTACTAGCCTGTTTGACCTTTTTTGGGTGCAGTCCTGTCACTCGAGTTGAACTCGAGTTGAACCTTGGTGGGAAAGTTGTCGCCTGCTGCCGTGGTTACCAGGTGATTTGGGCACCCAGGAGCACGTGACCACTTGTTCAACCATGTTCGATTGGGAATAAAGGAGGAACGCTGCATCGCAGCCTTTTCGGACCAAAACCAGTCGACTCAGCGTCCAAAAGACTACAACATATGGGCCAATCGCGGTCATCCGTGCTTTTATAAGAACGAAATGGCGCTTTTAGTGACATTTTGCATACAAATCCCCATCTAGTAGGGCGCAGTCACCCAGTTTCGGTGGAAGTGCGCGAGTTCGATTGGGATTCAAGTAGGAAGGGAGCGTCTCAGCTTTCTCGGACCAAGACCATTCGACTCAGCACCCCGAAGACTACAACTGGTGAAATTTTAATTTTTGCCTTAATTAACTTCCCCTTTAATTAACAATACACTCCGGCAAACAGTGCAAAGTGACCACAAGAGAGTTGAACCCAAAGCAGGGTTGCGTACAACCCTGTATCCATCATGCACAGGGGTGCAAGTAATGTATACAGGTTCATCAGGTGATGTGAAGTTCTGCCGTCGCAGACCCCAGAGCTGGAGTTGCACACTCTTAGGCATTATGTACTCTTGATACTGTACAAGCAGAAATATTCGTCTGGAATTTAATTTCGTCTTTTTCGTCCAAGGAGCTTTTGGACTAAATTAAATGTAGGACGAATATCGATTTGTCCAGTGTTTCTATACACTCTTATGATCTATGGACGAAATTTTCAACCGGACGAACTCCTTTTCTTTGGAGGTGGATGGAATTATTGACCGACGAAATTTTCTGCCTCTACAGTAATAGAGAGGTTCCGCTCTACGTAAAGTTGAGCAGCTTTACGTTAGTGGGCGGGAAAAACCCGTGAATTCGCGAGTTTGCACTCCACTTACGGAAAGTTGTCTATTAGTAGAGTACGTAGATAGGGCTCTGATAACATAGGTGCTCTGTAAGTGGATTTGGGTACAAAATTTATGACCCTCTCCCCAGGTCGATCCGGTCGTACACTGCCACGTTCGGAGTTGCCAAGGGCAGCTACGTGATTTGAAAATGCCGTATGGCGGAACACAGATCTGCATGCAGTTTACATAAGTCTTTCCGAGTAATCGGTGTAATCGTTTCATCCCTACTTTCCATAGATCGACTTCGTTTTTTACTAACATAATTACGTTTTGCGGAACCTCTCTAATATCCACTACTGTAGTTTGAAGGAGAAAACAGCCCGAAGCAGAACAAATTTGATTGTCACCACCGGGGCTCGCTTTGGATGCAAAGCTTAGCAAGCAGGCAATTTGCATGGTCTGTGGGACTCCCCCATTGTCTTCGGGAACCCTCCTAAGCAGTTTCCTCATTGTCTGTAGGACTGGCTAGAACCGTTGATTGAGTGCTGGTATCAAACATCGCGTGTAGTGTGTAGTGTGTAGTGTGTAGTGTGTAGCGTGTAGTGTGTAGCGTGTAGTGTGTAGTGTGTAGCGTGTAGCGTGTAGTGTGTAGCGTGTAGTGTGTAGTGTGTAGCGTGTAGTGTGTAGTGTGTAGCGTGTAGTGTGTAGTGTGTAGCGTGTAGCGTGTAGTGTGTAGTGTGTAGTGTGTGGTGTGTGGTGTGTAGTGTGTAGTGTGTGGTGTGTGGTGTGTGGTGTGTAGTGTGTGGTGTGTGGTGTGTAGTGTGTAGTGTGTGGTGTGTGGTGTGTGGTGTGTGGTGTGTAGTGTGTGGTGTGTGGTGTGTGGTGTGTGGTGTGTGGTGTGTAGTGTGTAGTGTGTAGTGTGTAGTGTACTGTAATTTCACAAATTTATGGTGTAGTTTGGTTTTTGATGCTTTCGGTGCATCTGTTTCATACCTAAAATTGCAATACACCGAACAAATACGAACACACATAATCCAATAGGGAATTGCTTCTCTGTACCTAAACATTCTGTTCACCTAACCTGGCCTTTTGCCCTCATACCGAAAATATTGAGCACCGAAAAATTCTGAAATTAGAGTATTCTTTGCCCTAGTTTGTCCTTTGAAAGTTGTGTACAGTACTCGATACTGCATATTCTTTACTAACTGGGCTATCTCTAAGGGCGCGTTTGGTTGGTACGAACTAGAGCAGGATTCACCAGAACAGTGCGTTTGGTTGGGACTGCACCTGTTCTGGGTCGGCCAGACCATGTTCTGCTTGCTCCGGCCTCGAGGCCGGAGCAGACCGAGCAGTTTCACTTTTTCACAGTGAAACCTGGCGGGAACATCGATTTTGGTCCCAAATGATCACGTGCATACGCTTTTGGGTTGGATTCGTTGTACCGTACAAAGTGACCATGGTGACCCATACACATTTTGAAGAATGCACCAAGTTTGGCACATTTTTCACAAAAATGTGCTCTGTTTCTGGAGTACCGTTTGGTTGACATAAGGCTGCTCCATGTGCACCAGCTGTTCGATCCTGTTCTAGATCGTACCAACCAAACGTACCCTAAAGCACGTTTCACCACAACCTCTCCCGCCCCCCCCCCCCACACACACGCACACCATGTACCACGCACACAATTCTTACTATTTGTGGACACCTTGACGGAGTACGTCAGTAAGACCGATCCAGCTGTCCGTATCTCCAATCATTCCGGTAAGCTGGCGATGCAACTATCACAATAGCAAAAGAACACACAGTAAGGCATAATAGGGGCAAGGCCAAGCACTTGGTAAGATGTGATGTTGATCGAGTGTTTGCATCGAAGAGACTACTGAGAGCGCGCACGCGCGCGCGTGAGAGAGGGTTAGAAAGAGGGTTAGAAAGAGAGAGATGGCGAGAGAGAGAGAGAGAGAGAGAGAGAGAGAGAGAGAGAGAGAGAGAGAGAGAGAGAGAGAGAGAGAGAGACAGAGACAGAGAGAGAGAGAGAGACAGAGAGAGAGAGAGAGAGAGAGAGAGAGAGAGAGAGAGAGAGAGAGACAGAGAGAGAGGGAAAACCAGCTATATATTGTCACGGATTCATGTTGCATGCGGCCATTAGTCTTGCACATTAGACGCAGATTAACTCCACAATGTTTCACAGGGGACAGAATGATTATATTTTATGATTTTGACTACTGTATACCTACATGTGGATTCTTATACAGTCAACTTCGCGTATAACAACACTCGGCGGGGCATCAGAAAAGTGTCCTTATTAGGCCATGGTAAAAAATAAAGTTGATTCTCAGGTCATGAACCTGTGAAAATCGGTGCGAGCGAGCGATTTTTTATTTTATTTCCAGACAGGGATCACACATATGTACATGGTCACATGACGTGTGTCATATTCAGGCCAGGGAGTAGAAAAATACCGGTATTTTACTACTCCCTGATTCATGCCTTTCGCACTAGAGAGGTTAATTAAGTTGCACGTTTTTGCCTTTTTTCAAAACGCGGTGCAAATCTCACGTAACGTGTAATTTTTAGAGGTTAAGTTACACGTGCGATGTGACGTGGAATTTTGCCTGGCAGGATTCGGGTTTAGTTCGCACAAATATCAAATCTTCCAACAAACTCGATAAACCCGATAAAACTACGGAAACTCGCACAAATTCGATCGGGATAACCAAGCGAAACTTCCAAAAACCCACGTCATGAACTTACGTGCGGAACAGGCAACTCACGTAAAGCACGTCAAATTTTACGTGAGTTTTTTAAATTTTTGACGTAAAAGATCACGGACGTAAGAATTTTACATGAAACTTAACCTCTCTATTGACCGTTTTCATGCGCGCATATGCATGCATAGAACTAAAAAAAATCGTTGGTGCGCCGCCGAAAATCGGTGCGCGCGTACTTGAGAATCAGAGATAATTTTTACCATGGCCTTAGCGAAGTGTCCTTATATACCGATGTCTCATTACTATGTATTACAGTTGAATGGGACTTTGCTCTGGGCATGGAAATTCTGTCGTTATTTGCGAATTGTCGTTATATCCGCAGTCGTTATTAGCAAGGTTGAATGTACATGCAAACGACGTCACAATGATGAGTCATCATTAGCGTATCATGACTCATCATTAGCACCCTTGAAAAGGTGCTTAGTATACAGCGGAACCGCTCATGGGCGCTATGCACATGCGTGTATGTGACATGTAGTCGCTAGGTGCATCGCTGGCGCGCACAGTGCCGCAACTTTGCCAAAGCATGTCAGCTGATGATGTAATCTCCTAACGTCCATGCAGTGACCCCAAAGTGAATAACCCTTGTGCACATTGACTTTATGTACGAAATCCCGCAGAATCCCTTAGACTCGGTTTTTTTCTTTTTTTTCCAGAAGATACAACCTACTCGTAAGAAGAGGGGAGAGAAGTAGCAGGACAACACAACAATGGGAAGAGCAGGGGCTCCAAGAAGGAACCGTTGTGCTGGGTGTTGAACGTGCAGGAACCTGTTGTGCTTACCACTGTGTTCACGACGATACGTGCCCTGAGGGCATTTAAAGAAGATCTAGCTAGTCATTAGCTCTATTCAAAGTGATGGAGCTGGAAGAGCGATAGATGATATTATCAAGAGTACATAACCCCCCAGAGTGTGCAACGCCTGATCCAGCTCTGCATAGGATCTTGGTCGAGCGGAATCGGATATTTGCGTCATAATACCGTACACATCTGAGGGGAACCCGGGGAGTCGCAGGTACTCTTGGATCAAAAACAATGGTGCCCAGCCTCGAGACCGGCCTTGCGCTGGTGTGAAGTGTACGCATGACATCAGAAGATCCGATTCCGCTCGACCAAGACCCTACACAGCTGGATCGGCATTGCACACTCTGGGGGTTATGTACTCTTGATGATATGCCAAATAACGTGCAACTAGACTTGAGAGGGCATCGAACACAAGTTGCATCAAGAGTCCATAACCCCCCAGAGTGTGCAACTCGTGATCCTTCTCAGCACAAATCAGTGCCGCAACGAAATCCAAACTTCATACGTCATGTAGTGAGTAGCTATGACGAAATGGGAAGTTTGGCCCGGACCTACTTCGCCCGTTTTCCCAATTTGGGGTCTTTCTTTACGAATCCACGGCCAGGTATTGTACGTAACACGCCTGGAAAGGCTCAAGTACACAAAGAAATATTTTAGAGTTGTCGAACAGTTTTCTCTTTTGAGTGTCTCTCCGATAAGAGAAGAACAATGGCCACTGTTGAACCTAAAGCAAAGCGCTCCCCATTGTCGCCGGAGTGCAGTGTCTCTGTGGACGATATTGGTCAGTTTTTGCTCGATCTGGGCTCCTCATATTCTTCTCTCGATTGTCGAGTGTTGGAAATTCTGGAGACGTGCTGGAAACAGCACCATATGGCGCTCAGCAGAGACAATGCTGGAAACATCGCTGGATAACTGCTCCAAATCAATCTTCTCCAGGGCATGAATGATCGATTTCTTCTGCGATGCAGTCAAAGCTTTCACTTTTGCCTTTCTCCTCTTGCGACGAGCAGGAGCAGGAACAGGAGCAAGACCAGGGGCAGGAAGAGGAGCAGGAGTAAGAGTAGGATCAGGAGGGTTACACATGGTGGAGGACACCATCCCAGTTGAACTACTTGTACCAAAATGGGACTGAGGAGCAGGTTGAAGCACATCTACTTCGAAATCGATCGGGTCTTCATGCCGTGTGCCAAGAGCTATTTCCATCAAATCTTGTAAATCTATATCCATGCCTATTCTTGCTATCCCGGAGTCACGAACTCTCCCAATACAGGCTTTTCAGACAACGAGCAGAGAAACTCTCTTCAAATAAAAAAATTCTGTGACTGTGAAATCAAAGCCGTTCTGCTGACACTGCATAGCCCGTGGAGCAAACGTTTTACGTGACATTTCCGTGGCTTGCTTCAAAGCAACCTTCAACTTGGAACCCCCGCCGGATGTACCAGATATGCACATGGCCCCATCCGCCCATGCTTGCCCGGGGACCAGATGACGCAATGTTTGGATTTCGTTGCGCCAGACCCCAACCTGGAGTTGCACACTCTGGGGGGTTATGGACTCTTGGTTGCATACATATTATACTACAATGTGTACACGGTAGGCCCCGAGCTCTGCAGGAACACTAGTCACAGGTACCCGTACAACTTTGAACTTTGTATGCAACTACTCTGCAATGCCCTCTCAAGTCTAGTTGCGCGTTATTTGGCATATCATCTATTGTTTTCCGTTGGGTACTGGGCTAATTGGGTCAAATGCGCATGTATAGCACACAATGAACGCACGCCCGGGCATGTATACTCCCAGGGGCTTCCATACATCTGTACGATGTACTGCAAAGCGACAAACTTTCGCGGCATGCAAATTGAACGTTAATGTAAATCGGCCTGGTTCACGATGAGAAACGTTTGCGATTCTATCTTTTCAATCGGATCTTGTACTGTCCACAACCAACGTACGGAGAGGTTTGCGGCGATTCATATTCGCGAATGTGTGATGGTCACGAGAATAGCGAAATTTAATCTCTAGCGAAAGTTTCTCACTTTACAGTACATAAGGGTTATATACAGCCAAACCTGTCAAGGCGACCACCTGTCCCAGAAGACCACTGTATCTATGACCAAGGGATGATATCAAGTTCCAGTCAAATGGCCCTGTATGAGGAGACCACCTGGTAACAGAGACCACGTTATGAAGGTCCCGTGGCCAGTCTTCTTAAACAAGTTTCACTGCACAATGGGCATCAGGGTTATATACAGTAAAATCTGGTTTAAGCGACCACCCCCACGGTGCAAGCAAAAGCGGTCGTTAAAGCCAGGTGGTCTATAGAACCAGGTCCAACAGGTTCAGTGTAGAGCTGTCCGTGCATGGAAAAAAGGTCGTTAAGAGCAGGTGGTCGTTAAGAGCAGGTGGTCGTTAAGAGCAGGTGGTCGTTAAGAGCAGGTGGTCGTTAAGAGCAGGTGGTCGTTAAGAGCAGGTGGTCGTTAAGAGCAGGTGGTTGTTAAGAGCAGGTGGTTGTTAAGAGCAGGTGGTTGTTAAGAGCAGGTGGTTGTTAAGAGCAGGTGGTTGTTAAGAGCAGGTGGTCGTTAAGAGCAGGTGGTCGTTAAGAGCAGGTGGTCGTTAAGAGCAGGTTGTCGTTAAGAGCAGGTGGTCGTTAAGAGCAGGTGGTCGTTAAGAGCAGGTGGTCGTTAAGAGCAGGTGGTCGTTAAGAGCAGGTGGTCGTTAAGAGCAGGTGGTCGTTAAGAGCAGGTGGTCGTTAAGAGCAGGTGGTCGTTAAGAGCAGGTGGTCGTTAAGAGCAGGTGGTCGTTAAGAGCAGGTGGTCGCTTACACCAGGTTTTACTGTACAGTACACTTACCCTTCTGTTTGTAATCTCCGCCAGTTCCGCATTCTGAAGAAGACAGCGGTAACGCGCTTGAAAGAAGGTCAGTCCGCGGTCGAAGGTGAGCGGCATGAAACAACTCTGGCCGATAACCGTCCAGCCCACATCGCAGCCTGCGGCGAGCGGGAACACAAACAAAGACGGGGCACGGGGTGTGTTGTAACGGCAGCATTCACCTCAGTCTCCGTATTGCCCGGGTAATAAGCAACACTGGAGTGTAAGCCATACCCCCCCCCTTTGCCACGAAATACAGACATCTACCCTATTTATCATCGTTTACTTGATCATCGGCGTATAAGCCACACCCTCCATTCTTTTGGGTGATCCCGAGTGTTCAAAGTGCGGCTCATACTCTGGATAACACGTTACGTGTGTACGTGAAAAGACAGGTAGATCGACCAAAGGAGTGCGACTGCACGCATGGTGGCAAAGCCCGCTGAAAGGCTACACGCAGTACAGAGTTGTTGGTAACTAGCTAACAGGGGTAACATGTGCAGACACGGATCTACCATGGACTACAGCTAATGCAGTTATCGTTGTGTGCAAACTAGGCCACCGGTCTGCACCCAGAATTAATTCGTTGTTTTGGGTCACTTCACTCAACCGTACCAGGGTCGGTCTGTCGGGATTTATTTTTTATTTTTTTGGTTTCTGCCAAGTGCATACATTACATCATAGTACATGTATGACCCTTATTGTAGATTGTGCACATCGAATATCCAAGCTTTCGTCCATTAAGACAGTCGATCAAATCTGGTTGGAGACGATTCAACACTGTTATTTATTGTCCCCCAGGACCAGATCTTGGCCTCGCTGGCCAACGGTGTGATGAGCAGCTCTCACCAAAACCTCCGTCAATGAGCGAAGAGTTGGCGGAGCTGGCACTAGCATGACCGATTTCGGATCGGCAAAAATAGATACGGCGGTCGAACGCTTGCCTACTGCACTTGCACGTACTGGTCCTCTCAAATCCGCTGTCGCCTTTGTCACAGTGAGTGCGTTCGATTATACCCGCGAATCGATGAATCGATTCACGCTATTCACATCACCCCATGTGAATAGGGTGAATGGATTCCGAATCGATTCCAGGGCTCATGGCATGAAAATCGAACGACTTGAATGCATGCGAATGGATTCATGAATCGATTAAAGTGCATAATCGAACGCAGCCACTAGCATTGTGCTCACTGAAATCCCGCCCAGGGTGCAAAACTAGCGCCCTGGACCAATGACGATTACATCACGTTACTTGTAAATTTGCACGTCCAGGTCACATTTGCACCACTTCCAAGGCACTGACGACCGTGCGAGTTCAGGGCACCAAATATGCACTTTGGGTCGATTTTCATCAAGCACAACTGTAGCATCGTACCCTGCTCTCAGCTTGTCAGTACAGTCAACTTTGCGTACAACGACACTCGGCGGGGCATCAGAAAAGTGTCGTTATTCACAAAGTGTCGTTATACCCGAAGTCTCATTATATGTATTACAGTTGGATGGGACTTTGCTCTGGGCATGGAAATTCTGTCGTTATTCGCGAATTGTCGTTATATCCGCAGTCGTTATTAGCGAAGTTGACTGTAGTACCTTGCCGCAGTGTCTGTACTGTCTATGTACTGTCTATGTACTGTCTATGTACTGTCTATGCACTGTCTATGTACTGTCTATGTACTGTCTATGTACTGTCTATGTACTGTCTATGTACTGTCTATGCACTGTCTATGTACTGTCTATGCACTGTCTATGTACTGTCTATGTACTGTCTATGTACTGTCTATGTATGAAGAAGCCTCTTAGGCCCTGATCAGACTACGTACATAGAACATCCAGGACAAAATCACATAAAACCTAAAACGCAACATTTTTCCAAGCCTGCATTCAGACTACACATTTTACATGCAATATACAGGCAACCTTTGACCCTACACAATTGCGCAAGGGGCCTGGGATGTGTGAAAGCAGAGAACAGTCATACCCGGGTAAAAAGTTGACTGCCTGGTGAAAGTACGATAAATGCAGGAAAGGTGCCTTGTACAAGGGTTCGCACCCTGCCTGAAAGGATTGGGCAGCATTTTAGGCTTCCTGCCAGATTCTTGTTGTTGTCTTGGAAACTTCTATGTCAATGTGACTAATACCGGTAGGCTGTTTTGTACCTAGTCTGAAGAGGGCCTTAGCCAAAAAAAACAATCTTCATGTAGAATCCCGTAGACCCGTTTGGGTCGGTTGAATGTGCAGGACCCTATTGTGTTTACTGCTATTTCCACCAAGGGATTTCATACGAAAACCTTTTTTCTGACAAAGATCTAGCTAGTCATTAGTTCTAACCAAAGTGAAGAAGCTGGAAAAGCGATTGTTGCATAGCGCACAACGAACACCCAACCGGGTCTGTACACACTTGCGACCCTAGTTTTGAACTTCGTACATCTGTACATCTGTACAACGTGCATACCGTATTATCTCTAACATAAGCACAGTCTCCAATAATAGAACACCTTGGGGCGGCATTCAAAAAATAAAGTGCTCAGTCTCCATTATAAGCACACTGTGTAAATTCATTATCTGTACCGGCAAAAAAACCCTGAAATGTGTGTGTCTGACATGAGTTTGGCATGGCAACATGCCTCTGAAATGAGGTTGAAATAATAATGGAACAGTCTCCAATAAAGGAACGTCTCCATTAATAGCACGGGGCGGAGGTACATTGAAAAAATAAAGGACCGTGCTTATTATTAGAGATAATACGGTAAGGTCTATTTAGTACTGGACACTCTGATTCAATTGAGCTGCCTCGGCCGGCCTTGTTTGTGCTCTATACTAACTACAGTTGTGGCAAGTGAAATCCAACTCTTGCCATGGGGGACAGCGCCACAAATGGACATCAATGATGTAATGCACTGCACCTACTTGTAATTTGTACTATAGAGCCGTATGCATCCCAAACAGAGCGAAAGGTCACAGCGTAGATACACACAGTTCACAAATATGGTACACATAAGGAGTATTGGTATCCAATCCCCATTGCCAGCACCTTTTGAACCTTGACTGTGATGGGTACGAGTTTTGTCATCAGACAGATAAAGTTGTATGTAACACATGTACTGTACGAATACGTACGCAGGGCTGCAGGGGCTGCAGATTGCATGGTGCAGTCCCTTATGCCAAGGGTTGGATTTCACTTGCCACAACTGTACTTGAAAAGTTGAAGTGTATTACTCGAGTACTGTATAAGCAGAAAATTTCGTCGGTCAATAATTTCGTCCAACTCCAAAGAAAGGGAGTTCGTCCGGTTGTAAATTTCGTCCATGGATCATAAGAGTGTATTGAAAAGCTGGACAAATCAATATTAGTCCGGCATTTAATTTAGTCCAACAGCTCGTTGGACGAAAAAGACGAAATTAAATTCCGGACGAATATTTCTGCTTGTACAGTACATTGAAAATCAAGTGAAGGACATAGGGTATCAAACAGGGAGTCGTAAAATACCGGTATTTTATGACTCCCTGGTATCAAATCACTAGTACTCGACGGGACTTGGCCTAGAGAAGACACACTATACTATATACACTGTAGTAGAATCAACTGAAGTACGACCGTGAACAAGAGACGACCGTGAACAAGAGGTGAGCAAATCATTCGCGAAAATAAATCGTTGTCCCACTTACCAGAAGCATTTGTAGTTGCAGCGCCGAAGCGCATGGCGGTGGAGCTCGGCACAATCGCCAGGCATATCACGAACAGAACCATCATTCCCAACAAGGGACGAGAGAGCATAGGCCCAGCCATTGTTGTCGAGAGCAGGAGGAGCGACGATCACGAACGGCAGCAACAAGTCAGTGCAGACACATGAGCTTCAGGGGGACGACCGAATTGGAAAGAAATCAGAAACCCCCTCGCATTATATTCATCTAGCGGTATGCGTATACGGCTCTCTCAGACAACGCATATGACAGAACCGCGAACGTACTGTGTGAGTAGATAGGATGAACCCGACGAAAAATCGTAGGATTTGGGTGCTGCTACGGCCTTGAGTAGCGAAAGTTCATAGGAATCCACCTGCTTTCGTCCGAAAAAGAGCTCCGCCAACGAAGCGTATTTTGCTTTTGTCGTAGAGTCTACGACCCATGCCATGGGGATCGATACTGAATGCACTGACCGACCGTACATATGCATACCGCTAGTACCGTAAAGTACCGCCAGAGCGCCCCACCATCTCGTCCTTTCGTGGCCGCCTTGTGGAGGTGGATTCCTGTCTGTAGGTCATACGACACGGACCTTGTACAAACATTGCACATTGTGCAGTCAATCCGTACCCAGTTTACCTTCGAGCTCCACATAAAAGCATACCAAGTGTGACCTTAGTACACGAAGGTTCTCACATCGTACAAACTTAGTAGCATTCTGCCATACGATTTTCTTCCCTTGGCTGTAAAATCAAGGAGGGGCGCTCTCGCGAGACGGGCGCTCTGGCGGTACTTTACGGTATGTACCAAGAGACCAAAACCCGGGGTTATGCATATATGGAGTCTTCTACGAGGTGTGTAGCCACTACACTCGTAAAAAAGGGTCACTAGCGCTAGCCTCAGTACTGTCGATGAGGTTTTGTTAAAAAAAACCACACTCACCATTTGACGGCACATTTACAAAGCAGGAAGGCAGCGATGAGGCATATGGCAGGAGTGGGGCCGGGGAGAGGCAGGGGCAGCTTGACCGACCATAGAGTCTGAGTCTCGGCTACCCAAGAGCTCCACAAAAACAAAAGACTACAGAAAATACACAGGGGTAGATAACTGGGGATTAATTTAAGGGGAAAGAATGCACAACATATCAGAGAGTCAAAGAAGTGAATGGAGGAGGGAACAGAGCTAGAGTTTTTTCGTCTTTTTTCTTTGGTTCATAGCTTATCCGTTGCCCACTCCCTGCGGGTAAGGCGCAGGTGGGCGTTGACCTTCTCTTTGAACGTCTGCAGTCCTTTCCTTGTTGGCTGCATGGTTCAGCTGCAAGGAAAGGACTGCAGACGTTTATTTATTTTATTTATTCTTTTTTTTACGTTCAAAGAAAGTTTGCTCCCCACACGATGCCAGAGCGTTTCCGCAAGGCACCGGCGGATAATGCTAGCAGAATAATTAGCATAATGACCCATGTGGGGAAGACCGGCACTGCCCTAGCATAAAGTCTCCAAATGTGACCTTGTCCCTTGTCTAGCACAATCGATGTGTGTAAGTAGCACTACGTCCAATCTGTTGACACCACACTCAGTCCACAGTGAAAAGTAGCGCTATTTTTAGAGCGCAGAGAGACACACTGGTGCTACCTGCGACGCTGGCAGCCCTCTGTACCAATGTAATGAAAAAGTAAGCATTCTTTCACTGTGTTCGCCCGCGATACTGCCATACTCCGAGCGACTGCACAGGGAAGTCATTATTTCCCACCGCAAGTATTGCCATTTTGTAGCACTATCAGCACTGCTAGCATCATAACGGAGAGCGTTATCAATCGTCAGCTCATGAATCACCTTGAGCGTTACAAACTCCTGACACCCCACCAGTTCGGGTTTCGTCGCCGCCTCGGGACCTCAGATGCGCTACAGGCTCTACACCACGCCTGGATAACAGCCGTCGGACGAGGCGGTGCAGCACGTATTCTAGCCGTGGATATTGCCGGAGCATTCGACCGTGTGTCCTATGCTGGCCTCCTCCACAAAGTCCGCCATCTTGGCATTGGCGGCCCCCTGCATACCTGGCTCTCTTCCTACCTAGGTGGACGGTCCATTCAATGCTTGGTGGGCGGCCAAACCTCATCGCTGTATACCATATCAGCAGGAGTTCCCCAAGGGAGCATACTCGGCCCTACACTCTTCCTGATGTACGTGAACGACGCCTCAGAGACCCTGTCACCCGGAGCCCACCTGGAGGCGTACGCCGACGATACTACCTTGTATAGCCTGATATCCCTCGACACATCCCCAGTCGACGCAGCATTGAGCCTCCAGACTTCTGTTGATCGCTTACATCAGTGGGGCCGCAGATGGCGCATCTCCTTCGAACCGTCGAAGTCCCAAGCCATGACCGCCACTCTCCGCAGAACCCCCATCAATTTGCCTCGCATTGTCTTCGGCGGCACTCCTGTCCTTGAGGAGAAGGCTCTCTCTTTACTTGGAGTGACCTTTGACTCGAAGCTGTCATTCAGCACTCATCTCCGGAAGGTCGCCACTCGAGCCAAACAACGCCTGGGCTTCCTGCGACGTGCAGCGCACATTCTCTCTCCAGCCGGCCGCACCACAGTATACAAGGCATTTGTTCGACCAGTTATGGAGTATGCCCCCTCATCTGGATAGGTGCTCCGCCCAGCTACCTGCAACGCCTGGATCATATCCAACGCTAAGCTCTGCGAATCATCGGTCCAGGTGCACTATAACCTAGCCTGGCCATCCGTCGTACTGTTGCCTCGCTTGCCTGCCTATGGGGCTGTTAAGTGTGACGTCACGGCTCCTTCGATACGCATAGCAACGGAGAGCACTGGGGACAAACAAAAGTCGCGTCCTCTGGATGGAACCAGATGTCAAGGGCAACAGCATCTAAATGACTGGAGAGACAGCAGTTTTTCTTTGCTTTTTCTTCAAGCGATTGTTGTCGCTCTTTACTCCTTGTTCTTTCCTCTACAAAACTCCTGTAGTCGTCGAGTGCCTTCATGATGGCTGTGAAATTGGCTGCCCACAGTAAAACTCCGTGTTTGAGAGTGCTTTGAAGATGTTTCGCGTCCTGATGGATCAAAGTATGAGCGCTCCTTGTGGATTCGATTATATAGGTGAGTTGTTCAAGAAATCAGTGTCTTCTTTCTGTCTCTGCCCTCACGCTGGCACAATATCAGCCTCTATATCCATGACAGCTCGCACCTCCCATAAACTGCATGACTTAATTAGATATATTTTCGCCCTCCGTGGTGATTGACCATGGAAGAATTTATTATGTTCAGAATGATGTCCTAAGAATATAAAATATAATAATTCTAGGGAATTGTCATAGGGCATTTTTGGAAGGATGGAGACAGACAGAGAGAGAGAGAGAGAGCACTGTTTGAAGTGTTTGTCTCACTGTAATTACTCCAGATTATTGAATGTTGTATGATCTACTCTATATTTTCCACAATGGTTTTTCCTGATTTGCGGGATCTCTTCTTTTGCTGTTTGCGTGTTTACAGGAAGTGGCTGTCTGGTGTAACTGCACCAGATCCTGCGGAAATTAAGTCAGATGCAGAGGCAGGGTCGTCCAGTGATGCAACACTGCCGTTCTGTGTGCAACGTTACCGCTAATACCCCCGGCGAAAACACAAAAAAGACAAACACGTGAAAAGACTACAGTATTGACCGTTCTGCTAATAAATGCATGACTGCTCCGACAGTCGATAATCGAAACACAGAGCACCAGCACGATGTTTTCATATTGGGAACCACACAACAGCTCAATTCTCAAGCCCAAAAATTGATGAATACAAATACAGAGCGACGCAACAAGAGATCATCCAGCAACCAAACAAACCTGGGTCTAATGCACTAAATAGTCCTGAAATATGCAGGCCAGACAAAGCAGTGCAAGCACATAATGTTACAAGGTACATGCATTGCAGAACAAAGTGTAACCAAAGATACACAGGGTTGTAGCTGCACACTTGTGCATGTGCTCGCTCAGCCCAAAAACACACGATCATGATGATGGAAACAATCCGGGGGAAACACGCTAACACCGAAGTAAGCATCGACACGTAAATAGTGCAGCTCTGAAAAATTACATTGACATGAACATTGGTGTGTCGAGTAGTATCAGGCTTGAATAATCATCCAACCAAGACTTCATCAGGTCCCAGACGCTGAGATCGCACGCTGAATGTGAAGTGCATCTAGCCTTGAACCTGTCGCACAAGGCACACATATATGGCAAAATGACATCCACTCTGATTATTTCCAGAGGCCAATCATGACAGAACACAGAAATGAAACCACGGGCTCAACCAAGTAAACGCAAAGGAAGTTAGTAAAAATAATCCATGCAGTGCTCTTTTAATTGCAGCACTGATTGCAGTGTTGCGTCATAGCCCGATACCCGCTGAGCACAGACACAACTCCATTCATCAGGGGCAAGACATACTCTTTTGGAATAAAGTCATAAAGTACAGCGTTCCAATGACATTACGGACACCTCGTGCAAATGCATAGTCTGTTCATCTGGCCGACTCGGCCACGCATGAGAGTGTGTGCGTGTACATGTGCGCGCTTGCGCGCGCGCACACGCACACACCATGTATTCGGTGCGTATTGTGTACCAGTTGCGGGACAATGAAGATGGAATCATTATCATGATGTTACATGTACATCTACAGTGTATGTTTGAGTGTAAAGTAAATTTTATTTTATTGCACATTTCTTCGACACAACTAATTACTTACTTCACATGTTCACATTTCTCATAATCGATCCACCTGCACTCCGTATCAGTCGAGGAAAAATTCTCCCAGATATACACTAGTCACCACAGCCATGTGATGACATTGGGATGGGCCCCAAGCACGATTGCACTCTCTAGTTACAATAAATTTGGCCAGATTATCTGTGAAGACAAAATGCAATGCATAGCGGCAATCGATGGATGAAGAGAGAGTTTGTAAATACCCATATCTTTCCACTTGTTCAGGAGCTTACCTTTTGGAGTTCACATCGTTTACACGATCTCTCATGCTGTCTTGCACCTTGGTTTTGTTGACCATGGATACGCCAACCCAGAAAACATTCTACAGGAGCTACTAATGCAGATCGTTTTTCACTCTCGATCTCGGCGATCTACCTTGTCACGCCAATAAAATCCTCCGTGACACTGGCTACAGTCACAAGA